ACAAATTAAACTTCTCCAATCTTCACAGTCCTCAAGTGGTACTACCTTGACCATCTTTCCAGTGTCTCCTTTCCGCACTGCTTTACTCTTCAGTCCATCTGGACCACTCAATATTCCACAATGCCTCCTGAAACTAGCATTCCACTTATCCACATGCTGTTAACAAAATACTATTAATTCTCGTTGATGCTCAAATGCTCCACCAGGGAAGGGAAAACAACTAATATTTGGACAGAATTTATTACATATATAATAATATGTTCCAGGCACTTAAGTTCTTAATTAATCTTTACACAGGTAAACAATATTAACTCATATCTTAAAACGAGAAAAAGAAATGCAGAAAATGGCACAGCTGAAATGGTGACTCCAAAATGTTTTCATAACACCACTCTGCTGCCTAGATAGGATTCAGGTATATTGCCTTCTAATGTAGCTATGTAGCTAGCTCTCTGATTTCTGCTAAAGACTATAATAAATGACAACATCCTACTCAACTCCAGAACCTACAAAATGTCCCCTTGCAAAACAAGGACACTTCTAAGAAACAGAAATAATAAAGTATTTCTTATTCTAAAGAAACTGTAGTAGTATCAGATACCAGGTCAATTTTGAAAACAGTTTCAAACTTCTCTATACCAGCCCAGACATCCAACAAGTTATAACATGTGAGATCAGAGCAGAGATAAAATGTCTTTTTTATTCCACAAGAGTTTCAAATAAAAATCCCAGAAAGACGTAACTCTGAGGTCCAAAACTCTCAATTTTCAAGCTAAATTTTGCCTACTCATCCATCTCCTCTGCCTAGTCCAGACGCTCCATATCCAAGAATAAGAAATTGGTAGAATCAACTGGAAAATTTTACTGGTCACTACTGATATTTGGACCACAGTGTTGAACTTGCAATCAGTTCTATTAATTTTTAAGATTCAAAGTACTGGAAAATGTGATAAGAATTGGTTTCAACAATTCTCTCACTTTACACTTCACAGATAAGAAGCCAATGGACATAAAGGTAAGGAAACAACTGGCCCAAGATCATTAATTAATGGCAGAGTCAGTATTAACACCCAGCTTTTCAGGCTCATGAACTACTCCACTATACTTCCAGAGAATACAACACTGGGTGCCTGAAACCTCTATGTTAAATCACAATTGTATGTAATATCATAAGCCACAATTACACAAAATTAATATACAAAATCTTTGTGCAAGCCAAGGAAACAATCATTAGAGCAAACAGACAACCTACAGAATGGGAGAAAATGTTCATATGCTACACATCTGATAAAGGGCTGATAATTAGACTCTACACAGAACTCAGGAAAGTCAGCAAGAAAAAAAAAAATCAAACAACCCCATTAAAAAGTGGGCAAAGGACACGAACAGAAACTTTTCAAAAGATAGACTAATGACCAACAAACACACAAAACAATCCTCAATACCTCTAATCATCAGGGAAATGCAAATCAAAACCACAATGAGATATCACATAATTCAGTGAGAATGGCTTTCATCAAAAAGTCCCGAACAACAAATGCTGGCATGGATGCGGAGATAGGAAAACTCATACACTGCTGGTGGGACTGCAAACTAGTATAACCTCTATGGAAAGTAATATGGGGATACTGCAAAGAATTAAAAGTAGAACTACTATTTGATCCGGCAATCCCACTACTGGATATTTACCCAAAGGAAAAAAAGACAGTCTATAAAAAAGACACCTGCACTCAAATGTTTATAGCAGCACAATTCACAACGGCAAAGATGTGGAAACAACCCAAGGGCCCATCAATACATAAGTGGATTAATAAAATGTGGTATAGGTATACCATGGAGTACTACTCAGCCATGAAAAATGGTGAACTAATACCTCTTGTATTTACCTGGATGGAACTGGAGACCACTCTTCTAAATATCACAAGAATGAAAAAACAAACACCACACGTACTCATCATTAAATTGGAACTAACAGATCAACATTTATGTGCACATATGGAAATAATGTTCATCAGAAATCAATCAGGAGGGACGGGGTAGAGGGGATGAGTAAATTTACATGTAACGGGTACAATGCACACTATCAGGGGAAAGGCACACTTAAAACTGTGACTCAAACAGTACAAAAGCAATTTATGTAACCAAAACGTTTGTATCCCCATAATATTATGAAATTAAAACAAAAAAAACTTAGTACAAATTCAAAAAAATTTTTCCATCCAAACAGTATTTTCTAAGTTTCACACACTGTTGATCACACTGTAATAACTGCCACAGATCAGGATATCCTTGATATAATATTAGAAGTATGAGAAATTTAGTTCTCGCCCAACATGCATGAAAGAACCTACTTGTATTTCGAATTCCAAAGAAATAAAGCTCCTTTGAATCATACAGTTAAATTAAGATTATGTACACATAACTATTTTCTTACATAATTCACATTCACAAAAGTATTAAAAAAGATAAAAACTTTCTGAAGCTTGGACCACTCTTTCAATGCCTAGCTATAAATTTAACACACACCTAATCCACAGCCTATCTGTGAATGATCTCACAGACCAAGGTCTGATCATTGTATTTCAGTGGTTCGATCACTAGCAAACCTCCTCTATGCCAAGAACTGTGTTATATTTTGGATAAAAGTCTTTACCTTTGAAGGACTCAAATTTTGTTTATGAGGACACAGAGACATACGTAATTTCAAAACTATGGTAAAGGGTCAAGACAGAGATATGTAAAACATGTTGATTCTACAGTAGGATGGGAAGAGGACATTTTGACCAGCTTTAGAAAGAAGTGAGGGAATGGACAGGGAAAGAATCTTGGAGTAAGAGGTACAATTAGTGAAAGTCAATGACTTACCTTAATGGCCTCTACTTGTTGGCAAATCAATTTCAGTAAAGAATTCTGATCTTCTGCCCATCGAGGTGGTGTTTTGGGAGAATACTAAAAAACAGAAAAAAAATAAATAAATAACAACAAAACAGTACTTAAAACACTTAGAATAGGGCATGCGCAGTGGCTCACGCCTGTAATCCTAGCACTCTGGGAGGCCGAGGTGGGTGGATTGTTTGAGCTCAGGAGTTCGAAACCAGCCTGAGCAAGAGCGAGACCCCGTCTCTACTAAAAAATAGAAAGAAATTAATCGGACAACTAAAAATATATAGAAAAAATTAGCTGGGCATGGTGGCGCATGCCTGTAGTCCCAGCTACTTGGGAGGCTGAGGCAGGAGGATCACTTGAGCCCAGGAATTTGAGGTTGCTGTGAGCTAGGCTGACACCATGGCACTCTAGCCAGGGTGATAGAGCGAGACTCTGTCTAAAAAAAAAAAAACACTCCAAACCTAAAGCAAAGGAAGGCAAGTTAAGTATTTACACACACATCCTCCTTCTGTGCATTAGTCATAAGGTATTACTGGGTGTTTTTGAAATTACCAAAATACAAAACCAAGACAAAAACACCGGTTGCTAGGTTACCAATAAGAAAGTATATACAACAACCTGCAACTTACTTTCTTGACCACTGAAAGATGTGAATCACTGTCATCTATAATCTTTAGTAGGTAGTCCCTGGTCCTTCTCAAATAATTTTTGCACTCTTCTTGTTCTTCAGGAGAAAGGGCATCATTTCCAATGTCTTCTGCCTTCCTGTGAAAAATCTACACAAAGAGTGCTTTTATGAAACAATTAGGTTTTAAAAACAAAAACCTTTTAATTCAAGTATCACATCTACTTACCACTGCAAGATTCCAGTAAGAAACAACATTTTTTATAGATTCAAAAGCAGTCATAGCATCTTCTATATTTCCATTAACTGCATCCAATATAGCAAAAGTTATATGTGCCTCTTCTTCGTATTCATCAATTTCAGATGCCTAAACACATTTAGCAGTTTTTAGTCAAATTGTTTTTACTCAGCATATCAAACCTAAATGATTTTCCAATGATTTTAAATGATCTAAAGAGATTAATATCTCATTATTCATTTGTCATATTTTACTTGCAACAGCTAGTAGATTTAGAAAACAAAGCAATTAAATAACGAGGCAATTAATTTGAGTTTATATCTCCATTTCTTTGTTTATAAATGGAAATCTATCTCCCCAGTAAATTCACAAAGGAATTCTGTTACCTGAATGTCTGCACTATGAAAATGTTTAAACAGAGGATCAGTAGGTTCAGGAATATTGCTCTTCTTTTTAATCATCTTCAATAATGGTAAAACTTTTTTCCAATAATGAACACTTCTGCCTATGTATTCCCGTTGATCATAAAAAGAATTAAGACCGCTGCCCTAAAACAGAAAGTCAGATGCACACAACCTTAAGGAACACATAAGGAATTTTTTTAAATCTGAAACTTCATTTACAGATGCTAAGAACAACTGTAAAATTTCAAGGCAAAACCAAATGGAATCTCAAAAATAGTTTGGTCAACTTCCCAAATATTGGAATAACTAACCACCTTATTACCAGTGATCACTCTGGACTCAATTTTAAAACATTTTCAATGATATAAACTTCATGAGGCAGTCCAACCTATTTTTTAAGAGTTGCCATTTTTAGATAGCCAAAATTTGCCTCTCTGTGGTGTCAGTTTGGTCAAAGGGCTAACTAAAATTTGCCTCTGAATAGTATCAGTTTGGTCCAAGGGCTAATCAAAATTTGCCTCTGTGTAGTATCAGTTTGGTCAAAGGGCTAACCATCTACACCTAATCTGGCCACAAAACAAGACTTCAAATATTTATTTTAATAAACGCGTGCACATACATATTCATGCATTTATTTCAGAGACAAGGTCTCACTATGTTACCCAAGCTAGTCTCAAACTCCTGGGCTCAAGAAATCTACCTACTTAAGTCTTCCAAGTAGCTAGAACTGCAGGCCAACATGCCCAGCTAGATCTCAAATATTCAGAAAGATGTATAATACCACTACCTACAAAGCCGTGTGCCACCTAACATTTTAAAAAACTTTTCCAGCTAAACAATAATCATAACTTAATTACTAAGTAATAACAATAATAGCTAATATTTACATAATATTTACTGTGGGCTGGGCACTGCTCCTCCAAGTGTTTATATATAACTGTATTAACTATTTTGTGGCAAGACTAAAAACACATTTCACCTGGCATAATATAAACAAGCTGCTATTGTTTCCAGAAAACACTTATAATAAAAAGTTCGTAATTTTTAAAAATTAACGTTCTTTAAAAATGTTTGCACTTTAATAAACCCACCGTTTTCTGAAGGCATTTTGCCCAATGTACAAGCAGAGCAGGTTGAAGGCCATGTTTTTCCTGACCTCTTAGAGTGTTTATTTCATGCTGAACTAGAAGTCGCAATTTTGCTGAGGTTCCAGGTCTAAAAAAAGTTTAATATAAATACTTTATAAACACACAGTTCAACATTTATATTATATTAACTGTCACATGATAAATTAAATCTTCACATAAGAAACTAAATCCCCAGTAAAACCAAGGCAATAACTTCAAACAATATTTCTGTTTTACTACTTACATTGCTTTTCTGTGAATTAGATTACAAACTGCATCCCACCAAGTTTTCTGTCTATCTGTACAAAGCTGTTTACACACAGGAAGTGGTAAGCATAGTGGCTGATAGGCGCTGTAGTGACAATTACATTTCTCCTTTAATTGTAAGTGGCTGGTGTATATCACTCCAAGTAAAAATACCTATTTTATTTAAAGAAAAATTAATTTAAGTTAGAAAAAGGTTAAACAAAACTCAAAATATTTAATTTGTTAAAATCTTTGCTTACTTCAAGATCTAAAATACATATTGATTCAGGTGCATTTGTTTCAAGCCTTGAGGTTTCCTGGGGCAAATGATGAAAAAGCTGTTTTAGCCATTTTCGAATTGCAGGTAAGGTAGGCAATGAATTCCACTGTAAGCCAAGCCAAGTAAGGTGTTGAAGACTACCATTATGAGCTCGAATGGCACCTGAAATTTAAAAAAAAAAAAAATTGGCTTGAGGTTTTGAAAACTTTCCTTGTGCCATTAGTTTTGCCAAAAAAACAATTAATGCACATTACACGTGTCTTATACAATTGCTTTGCTATATCAGAGCTGGAGGAAATTCCATGAGAATCAAACTCTCGTGTTCTTACCATATACTTTCACACTTTGTATCTAGAAATTTTAATAAAAACAGTTATGGGCTGGGCATCGGGGCTCCTGTCTGTAATCCTGGCATTTTGGGAGGCCAAGGCAGGAAGATCACTTGAGGTGAGGAGTTTGAGACCAGCCTGGGCAACATAGTAAGACCCCGTTTCTCTACAAAAATAAAAAAATCAGCCAGGCGTGGTGGCACACACCTATAGTCCTAACTACCTGGGAGGCTGGGGTGGGAGGATAATCTGAGCTTGGGAAGTTTAAGCTGCAGTGAGCTATGATGATGTCACTGAATTCTAGCCAGGGCAACAGAGTGAGGCGCCCCTACCTGCCCCTATCCCCCCAAAAAAGTTGTTATGTAGAATTCTTTTTCAAGTCCATCTAAGGAAATGAGATTCACTAGAACTCAGTAAAATAAAATTTGCTTACAGAAACCAAATAAAGAATACTCACCTAATAAATCCTAAAACAGTGGATTTTCCTTTCAGTAAAGTCATTAAACAATGGACTACCACTATATTAACCCATTAGTAAAGAGATCTTTTCTTCTATAACAAAGTCAATACTGAAAGGGTTATAAAAGCTTCTGAAAACATACAACCCTTCTGGCACTCTGGCAATTTCCAAGAGACTTAAAACTGTCCATCTTCTCAGTAATTCTGTTTTTAAGAATCTCTATGGAAATCATTTGAAATGTACACACTTTATATTGAAGTTTCCATCATGATATTATTTTTAATAGTGAAAAAACTAGAAACAACTTGAATACCCAACAGTAGAAAGTAGCAAGCAAATTATGGCTAATTCATAAAAGAAGATTGCCATTAAAAGTGCTATTTGTGGAGTTTTAATATAGATACTATGGGAAAGAATTCATGAAAGAAGATAAATCACATATACAGTATAAACAACTACATACAGAAGAATATATGCACCCACCACCACCCCTTCCAGCTCCCTCAAAAAGAAAAAAAAAACCTGAAAAGAATACAGGAAAATATTAAGTCATTATTTCAGGGTAATAAGATTGTGGGCAATTTATTGTCCTCCTAATATAAAAGGATTAAGATGCAGAAGGTTTCCTTTGAAACATGTAACTTACCAACATCATATCTAGCCAAATCATCAGGCTCTGGTGCTTGTAGAGCAATGTTTCCAATATCATCACCACCAAGGAAAGATTTATCCTTAGGTGACTGACTAGAAAATAGAGCATCATATAAAGTAGACTGCCCACTTTTATTGGCAAAAGATTCCACAACCTCCTTTAAAAAATCTTCCTTGCCACGACTTAAGTTTAGCAACATGTGTCCTGAAAAATAAATTATTTCCATCATTTTAAAAATACAGATTGTATTTACTCACATCTCTCTATTGTTTCATTTGCATACCCAACAGGAAATAAGATGATTATCTCAGACCTAACCCTCCAACCAAAAAACTACAGCTGGACAACAGAAAGGGTGCTCATGTAGAAAATAGAGTACAGGTTTAAGAGTATGTCTACATAAGAGAATAAAAAAGAAGAAAAAAAGACAGGAATATGTACGAAAAATGCCAAAAGTTTTGTATTTTAGATAAAAAGGTTTGGATTTAAGTAGCCATAGAATCTCTGATCTCATACACTGATTTCTAAACCTGGCTGATCAGAATCTTCCTTTAAACAGCTTTTACAAAGTATTTTTTCCCAGGCCCCACTCCCAAAGATTTTTATTCCATAGGTTTGGGGTAACAAATCTATTTTAAAAACACTCCTTGGATCAAGTACTAATATATGCTACAACATGAATAAACCTCGAACATCCGCTAATAAAAAAAGCCAGTCACAAAAGATTACATATCATATGATTCCATTTATAAGAAATGTCCAGTATAAGCGAATTGAAAGAGAAAGAAGTAGATTAGTGACTGCCTAGAGCTGAGACATTTGGGAAAATGCAAAGTGACTGCTAATGGGTATGGAGTTTCTTTATGAAGTGACGAAAATGTTCTAAAATTGATTGTGGTGATAGTTGTACTACTCTATGAACATACTAAATAAAAACCACTAAATTGTATACTTTAAATGGGTGAATTGCATGGTATTTGAATTATATTTCAAATGAAGTGTTTTTTTAAAAAAAAAAAAAAAAACCCCTCCTTGGAGTTAATTCTGCTCATCAGTCAGGTTTGGTTATCACCAGACTGTTGTCTCTCAGGAAACTTGCAGAGATAGTCTCAGGAATGCCCATATCAAAGACATAAAAAACGCAGTTGATTTTACTAACTGTGACACCTGCAAAGGCACCTATGATGGCCCTGCAAAGGTAGAAGGAAAATAGAAAGGGGAAAAATGCAAAGTCATTTTAAGGACTGAAAGTCTAACTTCCATAAAAAAGGCAGGCTGTGGAACAGAACAGCAACATGCAATATGATCAACAGCCTAACTAAAAACCAAAACTTCTAGCAACTTTGATTTAATGCTACTTCTTGCTCTTTACAAAGTTCATTCAATTTTATTTCAAAATTGCTACCTACAGAAAGCATTACATTTCTTCAGTTCACTGCTTGAGTCACTGGCTGTTTGACTACCTAGAAGTCTGTGCCTTAGCGAAATCATAGGTATTATGCAACAGACCTTTAGGATCCATCCCAGACAGTCAAAAATGGGAATTCAAAAATGGGAATACAACCACAAATCCCAAAAGCCTAACAGGTTTTGAGTATGTATCTTCTATCTTCCTCACCATGCTCTCGGCTTTTCAAGATATAGATCTGTATCTTGATCTTAATATCCCCCCAAAGCAGTGTTTCAAAAGCAGCTGGTGTTAAATGTTGGCAAATCAATAATTATACTTAGTTCAGGAAGTGCTCTGAAATATTCTGAATGGAGGTTCTAGCACCTACATAAAGGAAGGGTAGGGAATTACCTCTTCCTGGGAGCAAACACTATCAAATATTTATTTCCTTTAAATAATACACCATGTATTCTAATCCCTTCCATACCTCTTGCCCTTATGCGGCATGGCAAAGGTAAACAAAAAATTTTGACAAATTATATCCTGGACAGACACAAGATTTATCATTAGATGTGCCTTTACAAAGAAATTTCTCTTTTTTAGATTAAATCAGTTAAACATTACTATTACCTGATTGGCTCAGACGATCATAGGCCATCATTTCCAGCAGATTTTGTCCAGCTTCTCCTTTTATTAATTTAATCTTTGGTCTTGGAACCTAATAATTTTAGAATCAAAAATCTTAATTTCGTAATACCCATATTTCTAATAGTAAGACGTTCCTTTCTATAACACTGTATTGTTTTGATAATGAATAAACAGTTAAGCAATGGTTAAACCGAATTAGAAAACAGATAACAAAAAATTGGGAACCAAGGAATTTATATGATCTAGCTATAAAAGATGCAAAGAGCACATCTGAGAAACTACTGTTTTTATTTTTTTATCCCCAACTGTGTCCTCATGAAATTACTTTCTACTAAAAATACATAGAAAAGTTACATTCAAGGAAATGGAGAATTTAGTTATATTACTTTTCTACCCTCCATAATCAGGACTGTAGCAGAAGAGATGATCCTACTATAAACAGCACTGGTGAAACCATACTTGGAAATGCCACACTGTGGACAGCACATTTTCAAAGAGTATGAGTAATCTAGGATACCACTAGGATAAATGGGAACAATCAAGAGAGTAAATGGACTCTTAGCCCTATGCTATGCAAAAAAGCGGAAGGGATGAATAAATAGAATAGCAAAGAGAAGACATAACAGCTGCCTTCAGATATTAAAATTATTTTACAAAAGAACTGTTAAACTCTTTAATATCACCGAAAGAAAAAACAAGATCAATACATAGCAGCTTGAAGCATATTTTTACTCTATATAAGGAAGCACCAAGAACCAAATTATCCAAAGATACACTGGGCTATTTTGAAAAGTAGTGAATGGCTATCACTGAAAATGTTCGGTCACAGGCAATGACCACTTATGGGAGATATCCTAAAAGTGACCATATGGATGCCTAGAGTAGCTGCTTTTACATCTCTCATCACTTTCTTAATTGGTGGTAGAAATGTAATCTGATACTACCTCTCTAACGTTGGAAATTTGGCAACAGCTCTAAAAATTATAAATGCGTAGATGTACTTTGATCCCGCAATTCTTTCAGGCATTTATCCTACCCATATTTTGACATGTAAAATGGCACAAGTTATTCATTGCTGAATTATTTGTAATAGCATAGGAAAAAAGCAAAAGCAACCTAATGTCCTAGTTTTAGCGCCCTGGTTTTAAAAAAACCCCAAAACTATGGTACAATACATACAACAGAATAATATGCAAACATCAAAACTAATGCATTCTGAGGCAGGAGGATCGCTGGAGGCCAGGAGTTCAAGACCAGCCTGGGCAACATTTGAAACCCCATCCCTACAAAAAATAAAAATAAAATAATAATAACAATAGTAATAATAAATTGGCCGGGCATGGCGGTGTGCATCTATAGGCCTAGCTACTTGGAAGACTGAGGCAGGAGGATCCCCTGAGCTCAGCAGTTCAAGGTTACAGCGATCAATGATCGTACCACAGTACTCCAGCCTGAGCAAAAGAGCAAGGCCCTGCTTCTTAATTTAAAAAAATGAAAAACAAAATAACTAGTAAGGATGTTCTTTATATACTGATACGGAAATATCTCCAAGATACAATTCATGGAAATAAATCAATATAAATATAATGATTGAACATTTTTCATGTTTTTAAGAGAGAGGGTGTGTGTGTGTGTGCGCACGCGTGTGTGTGTTGGTTAGTATAGGCATAAAACATTTCTTAAACTCACAAAAAAAATAAGAACACTAATTTCCACAGGGTGGAGAATTTTCTGAAGACATCAAACTATATCATCTACAGATGTTGAAAAAAAGCACAAAAAATAAGAAACAAAACATGGACATAATTCTTCTTGTTTACAAACTGACCTCAATTCATAAACCTGATCTCTTTTACAAAATTATTCAACAGCTGAATTTGTTACCAGTTAATTAGTTATGAATCTGCTCAGTCAAATCATCTCAAGTTACCATTTCCTCACCTTAACTAACAGGTTTGATGAGAGACATTGCTATATGTCTCGCTGAGAAACCCATACATTTCCTAGAGCCACAGCATTCCTCTCAAGAGTCTGTAAACCTTACCATAAAAGAAGTTAGTCTCACATAATTCCTTAAATACCCAAATGCCAGCACATAATCTACTTTTTATGCTTATAATCATTTGATAATTAAGCTTTAAAATAAACTGATAAGATCAAATCCAAGCATTTAAGATGTTTCTATTATACATCCAGTCCACAGAAATATGTGGTAGTTAAAAAGACTGAGGTAGATATCTATCTATATGCTGAAGTGAGAGAAACATGAAGAAAAGCAAGGTATAAAGCACACCCATGTTGAGACATAACGTTTTTTTTTAACGATGGGGTTCTCACTATGTTGCCCAGGCTGGTCTCAAATTTCTGGGCTCAAGCTATCCCCCAGCCTCAGCATCCTGAGTAGCTAGGACTATACGGATGAGCCCCCATGCCCAACAAAACAATTTTTTAAGAGAGAGCCTGCATTATATGCTTGCATATGTAAAAATACTCCTTAATACCCAAAAACCTGCTAACAGTGGTTGTCTCCTAAGACAACCAGTGGGTGAATGGGTTAACAGGGAGACTACTTTTTCATTATTATAATAAAAAAGTTCACAGTCGGGGTATGGTGGCTCACGCCTCCAATCCTAGCACATTAGTAGGCTGAGGCAGGAGGATTGCTTGACTCCAGAAGTTCGAAAACGGCCCGAGCAAGGGCAAGATCCTGTCTCTACAAAGGAAAAAAAAAAAAAAGAAAGAAAGAAAAATTAGCCGGGCATGGTGGTGTGCACCTGTACTCTCAGCTATTTGAGAGACTGAGGCAGGAGGATCACTTGAGCCCAAGAGTTTGAGGTTGCAGTGAGCTATGACGATGCCACTGCACTCTAGTCCAGGTGACAGAGCAAGACTCCATCTCCAAAAAAAAAAAAAAGTTTGTAATTTAAAATGGTTGATTGTGTATATTAACTTTTAAAACTACATAGTTACCAAAGAATTTCTACAAAAGACAGAACCGTTTAATGTTTATATTAACTAGTGAACTTCACTAAATTCACCAATTTTCACTAGTACACATATGTACACTGTGTTTCTACTGAGAAAGTATTAGCCCTTAACACTGTATGCTTATTATCAACAGTGTTTTTAAAAGATCTATATACCTCCTCTAAAGCTAACAGTCATTTTTATAAGCCTGGCTTGATGCTCTTTTGGGAGACTGCTTATTTCTTTTCATTTAAAAAGTAATGTGAGCTCATGAAAAAAAAAAAAACTAGAAAAATGGGTTGGAAAAGGAATATTAGCCATCGCCTAAAAACAATGATTAATATTATATTTGGCATATTTCCTTCCTGTCATGTTCTACGTATAAGGAAAGTTTTGTTTTCAAAGATTAATATACTGTTATATATAACATACTGTCATAAATGTTATATACATGTCATATTTATATATATACTTTTTAAAGTTATTGTTTAAATGGTAATCAGCTTCTTCTATCATAGATCACATACCTATTCCCCCCAAATATTCTTATTAGTTTTTTGTCCAAGTTACATGTATCTTTTTTAATAAAGTTTACCCATATTTGAGATTATGTCCTTATTATATGTTCCCAGAAATGGCAGAGTAAAAAAAATCATACTCTTCCACATGGTCTTCAAACAAGTCATAGCAATGCAGACAGTCAACAGTAGTGCATCAACATTGTTGTTTCACCAGCCTCAACAGTATTGTGCACATCTTGGTTTTTTTTCACCCTGTCAAATTGCCTATTTCATTTTAACTTTAATTCTACAGATTTGTTCACATATTGTTATTACACATGAGGGCACACCTCCATTTGAAACACATCAAATTCTCAGTGAAATGTGTCAACTGCACCTAAAACTGGAAAAGGCTTACCTGAAATGCTATGAGATAGCACAATGCAGCCAGCTCAGAGAGAGCTCGCCACTGTACATCACTATGCTGACCCATCTTCAAAAGCAGAGAACCAGCATGCATGTAGAAATGTCCTTTCATTTCTAAGAAAGCAGCTGACAGTTCATCATTTCCACCCACAGAAGATTTCACAGACTGAAGAGCACTATCAAAACTGTAATATTAAAATATTATACAGGTAGTCCACATTTACTGCACTGTAAATAACCGTTTTCATTATTTAACTCAAAATTAATAAATTTATTTCAAGTTTCATCTTCACAAACTCCTAACAATTCTTATTCTGCATTTTAGAAATTAGAAATCATCTAGTGCTTTTTTTTCCTGCATACTTCCTCTACATCGAGCTTAACCTCTAACCTCTAGAATGATGTCTTACTCCCAAACAGTTATTTTCAGCCCTCCAATCACAGAAAAGATACAAATCAAGTAAGAATGGTGATTATAGGTGGACCAAGATAAACTTGGGAAACGATTTTCTAGTTTCTTTCTGATCATATAATTTCATTACTCAATTCGAGTTCACAATTTCTCATATTAGATATGCCATTTCCAAATTATGATAATTTTTGAGTATCAACACTATAACAGCTCCTCTTACAATATAGGTATAATTACAGAGTTAAATATATTTCTTACTATTATTTGTAGTCTATATTCTAATTAGTACTTCTAAATTCTAATGATTCTCAGAATCATTTGGGAAGAAAAGCACAAGCAAACACTTAAAATGTTCAGCATAATTTTAAAGAAATTTATAATAAAGAAATCAGAGCAATAGGGATTTCTTCTAGCAAATGAGGTCTGGGGATCTCTGAGGGTTCTCAAAGACCCCTTCAGGGGATCCATGAGGCTAAAATTATTTTTGTAATAATACTAAGAAACTTTTTATCATTCTCACTTTCTCATGTATGTAAAAGCTGAGTTTTCCAGAGGTTCATGACATGTAATAGCTTAACAGATCGAAAGAGGAAGTCGATGAGAATCCAGCTGTGTTCTATTAAGCCAGACATTAAAAAGATTTATAAAAATGCAAACCATCACTCTTCTACCTGTTTTGTTGTCTTGAAAAATAATTATTTTTCATAAAAAAAGCTATTATTCTTAGCATGTAATGGGCTTATTATATTTAGTGAGTTTAATGTTTTAATTTCTCAGTTTTAATTCTAATATGATACACACCAACAATAGAAATAACCCACAAAGATCTCTGATGTCCTCAAAAAGTGTAAAACGAACTTGTGACCACAAAAGTTGAGTATATAAGACACACCAAATAAAAAATCCTAAATATTTTCTAAAATAATCTAAAAGTTTAAGTTAGTTCTTTTGGATTCTGTCCTCACTTACTCTACCAATTTAGGACACTAACTACTTTTCCAAGAAAACCATCTACCCCCTACACTGAGTGAAATGAACTTTTCTTATGCCAGATGGAAAAAGAATTTCCAAACAAATGGACAATCTAAACCAGGGATCAGTAAGCTTTTCCCACAAAGGGTTAGACACTAATCTGGCTTTATAGGCATACAGTCTCTGTTATAACTACTCGACTCCACCCTTGTAGTATATAAGCAGCCATAGATAATACATAAAGAGGCATGCTATGTTCCAATAAAACTTTATTTACAAAATTAGGCAGCAGGCTATATTTGGCCCACAAAGTCTAATCCTGCAGTCTCTAACCCCTGGGCCAAGGCCCATTAGCGGTCCGTGGCCTGTTAGAAAACGGCCACACGTCACCACCTGAGCTCTACACCACACCTCCATCACCCACGACAGCCTGTGGAAAAATTGTCTTCCATGAACTGGTCCCTGTGCCAAAAAGGTTGAGGACCATTGGTCTAATCAACCCCTGCTCTAAACTAACATCTTTATACAAATCCAAGTGATGTTTTGTTCAATGGAATTTTTTTTTAATAAAATACGGCTACTGGCTCTCAAAATCAAAGTTTAGGAAAACAGAAAAATCATACATTTGAGTTACTGTTTCTAAACTAAAATGCTATTTTCTGAAATATTAGTGATGCTAAGTGCTCATTAGTACAAGCATCTGAATGAACCTGTAACCATCTCATGACAGACAAACTTTATCATCTGATTTTCACTCAAGATATCCTATTTTTTAAAATAAAACACGAAATAGCAATTAGAACATTTATTTTAAGGCTTCATTTATTAAGTTTGACAAAACAGATTCTTTAACTATAAGGCTAATTTCAATCAAGTCAGAAACATAAGAGTTCCCAAAATTGAACCCTTTTTAAAAAACCAATTATAACATCCCCATAGTAGTAGTCAAAAAAAGATTCCCTCCAAGTGTTTCGTCATATTAACTATAACTCCTGGGTATATTATAGAAATAATAATGCAGTAAAGAAGTTTAGACCAACGAACTGAATTACTGAAAAAAGAAAATCTGTGTTTACAGTACTTTTCTGAAAGTCAACATACCTTTCCAGTAATTCTCTGCTTTCCTGCACATCTCTACTGGAAAGTGTAAGAAACATAAGGTTAGCATAGGCCAGAAGTAAGTCTTTATTGGTTGCTCGCCAGTCACTTTTATCAGACTCCAAACACTGTAAAGATTCCAGATATTCCTATTTTGCAGAAAGAACAGTAAGTTACGAAACATAATCAAATGTTAAGAAATTGAACATTTTATGCCTATAAATTCCTTTGCTTACTCCCACCAAATCTGTGAAACTATAGTGATTTTTTATATCAGTCTTATAAATAAAAACACCAAAAACATACACATTTATCATAGTTATCTCCCCAATCTCCCCATTATAAATTTAAATAATCCTGGTAAAAATTTCATCTTATAGTTGCTCTATATAAATGAAAGAAAAAATTTAAGTCTTGTGGTGGGGCAGGGGGACTACTTAGATATGAGAGATATATGCTAATTGTCTACATAAAAGTGTAGAGGCCCAACAGCTTTTACCTACCTTAAGGGTCTGTACAACACACAAATTCCATTCTAAACTTGAGCGCAAAGCTACGTTCCTCTCTGCCTCATGACAGTGGGCCACAGCATCTTTCAATCTTTTATTTGAGCGATACAGCTCCACTAGTCGGATGTTCACATGGACATCATCAGGCCTTGCATAAAGTTCTGACTGAATCAAGTCAAAAAGTTTATTCCATCCATCTTCACCTTTACAGTCTAAAAGCTGTTCCTATTTGGGAAGAAAAAAACTGTTAAGAGTAACACCTGTGCAATATTAAGCACGTTACAGGAGGAGCACCATTCCACCATATCCAGCTTTAGGACAGTGCCACCAAAAGTACCACCCTAATACCTCCTTATTAGTCCCTTCATAGAGTTGCTTACAATCCAGAAGCCAACCCTCAAGAATTTTACGTAAATAAAAGCATCTGGGATTACTGCAGTAGCTGTGGTTGCCCATACTCACCTCAGAGACTACCTGGACTACTGCCCCACACCCCTGTATACTTCAGTCACCACCAGAAGCCTAGGCCTCTCCAGCCAATCCTCAGCAACAGGGTCCTCATCTTCAAACTGCTCTGCATCTCCCTAAATTTGACTCAATTCCTCCCACCCCACCCCTGCTCCCACTGTTCTGCTATCTTCATCATCTTCTCAAAGCACTGTCATCACCTCCTGACCTTAACTGAAGAGAATATCATCTCACAACAGCCCCCACCACCTGTGTGCCATGTCTGCTTTTTTTCCTCTCTGACCCTACATATAAGGAAAGGAAGTCAGGCTGGAATAAAATACTCTTTGTCCTTAACAACTGTCATTGGTATTAGCAATTAAAAGATATACCCGAAATATAATAGCTTAGCTACTTCAGTTCTTTAATCACCTCATCTCCAGTGAGTTGTACTCTGCTCCAACCTCATCAGCCTTCCATTTGCCATTGACACAGGTCTTCAAAATCTGTATTTTGGTCATATCATTCAAACCACCACACACCCTTCTTATTCTTCCACCTCACTCAGGGCCCACGTGCACTCACTGCCACATATATACTCCTCCACCACATGAAAAGCTCCCTTTAGTACACTGACATCACGAAGTTTTAATTAACCATAAAACACACACAAAACACACAAACACAAGCACTTTCCTTCTTTCACCAAGTGAAAATGCTATAATCCCTAATATCCATAATTACTATGTTTTCTTACAGAGCCCTTCAATTAATTCTACCTTCCCTCAAAAGAATCTGGCCAACTGCTTTCTGTGTGCCTACATACCAACAGTTAAACAACTGGGGGTTGGGCACTTGGAATCTGGGAAATCACAACTCCAGGTTGATTTCATTTTCATTATCTCAAACCTCAAAACTGCTACTTAGAACAAAATACTCTTCTAACTTCTAACAGACTCACTTTCTCCATTCCCTGAAAAGATCACTTCATATGTCCTCCTATTTCCTCAACTTTCTCACACATTCCTTCAACCCACATTTTCAACTTGGACCTCAATTCATCCTTCACTAAGAAACCTGAAGCCACCATATACAAATTCCACTTTACCTACTTGCACTCATCTTCTCCCCACTCTCTGTAAGAAAGACCAAGCCCTCCGTCAGTGCTCTGTATTTCATTCCTCTCTCTATTTCATCAATTTCTCCCCTTCTCTGGATCATTTCCATAAACTTGTACCTGGCCTCTCTATATCTGCAATAGCCCTAATCTTTGACTACATGTTAAAAAAATAAAAGAACACCACAATTACAAATGTTTTAAAAAAATTCTTTCATGCTCAAGAGAAAAAGCCTTCTCACCAGTAATATTTCCATTCCTCAAACAAATGTCAGAAAATTATTTATCTCAGTAAGCCTTAAACTGTAGGAGAAATAAAATTACTTTACACAACAGTTATAAATCTCATGGATTTCAACTCCGAAAAAATGAGAAAAATCTGATAAAAGGTATAGCCTCAGACAAAAGTGCCTTAAAAGTTACTAAAGAAAAACAGGATGCTTCAAAAGTATCTAACTTTTGTTAGACTACAAGAAAAATAATCCCCTACCATAATATAGGTTCTTTAGCACTACTGACACCAAATGAATTGGATTGCAATATAGGAATCATGTTTGAAGCATAATACAAAAATAATATGGTAAAGAAATTTGCACAATTAGACCTAACATTTTAGACTAATATTTAAGATCAAGCTGCTTATCATGGGGTGGAGGGGGGCTTAATATTACTAATATTTAACTCTAGGAGCTTTTAAAATGCTTTTTCAGACTGAAGTATCTGTGCACGATTATTCATAGCAGATGAACAATAGCCAGAAACTAGAAACAACCAAAATGTCCCTTAGAAGTGAACTGGTTAAGTTGTAGACCATGAAAATACCACATAGCAGTAAAGGAACAAGCTATTGATACCCACGACTTGGATGGATCTCAAAGGGTACTTTGCTGAGTGAAAAAAGCCAACTTCAAAAGGTCACATACTTCATGATTCCAATTATATAACATTTTGAAATTACAAAAGTATAGAGATGGAGAATAGATTAATGGTTGCCAGAGGTTAGGGCTGGTGGGGAGAAGGAGGTGGGTGTGACTATCAAAGGAACAGACTGAGGGAGATCTCTGTGGTAAGGGAGTAGTTCTGTATCTTGGCTGCAGTGGTGGTTACAGGAATCTACCCATGTGATTAAATGAAAAAAATCTATACATATACATTGTACCCGTATCAAATGCCTGCTTTTGATATTGTACTATAGTTACAGTAAGAAATAGGCTGAGTATCCCTTATCCAAAATGCTTGGGGAAGTCTGTTTCCTAGAGTGAGCACCAGAAGCACGTTGAGTTATATTACGTAATTTTTCACTACCAAATAAATGTTCCCACTGGAATGACCAACTGAAATAATAACCTATCCAGACCCTTACTATCCTGTAACCTTAGGTTAGTCACTAAAATAGGAATAATTACAGGCTTCATAGACTGTAAGCTTAATTAACATTTGTAGCAAAAGGCCAGCTCCAACACCCCTTGTAAACGCAAACTTAGGTGGTAGTATTTGTTGAGATGTTCTAAATCTCCCATTTAAGCCGGGCACAATGGCTCACGCCTGTAATCCTAACACTCTGGGAGGCCGAGGCAGGAGGATTGCTTGAGGTCAGGAGTTTGAGACCAGCCTGAGCAAGAGCAAGACCCCGTCTCTACAAAAAACAGAAACATTAGCGGGGCATGATGGCGCACACCTGTAGTCCCAGCTACTCAGGAGGCTGAGGCAGGAGAATTGCTTGAGCCCATGAGTTTGAGGTTGCTGTGAGCTAGGCTGATGCAAGGCAGTCTAGCCCAGGTAACAGAGAGAGACTCCATTTCAAATAAATAAATAAACATTTTTTTAAAAAAAATGTTTGGGACCATAAATGTTCTGAATATCAGATTTTTTTTCAGATTTTGGAATATTTGCATTATACTTGGCAGGTAGAGGATCCCAAATACAAAAATCTGAAACCCAAAATGCTCCAATGAGCATTTCCTTTTTGAGTGGCATGTCAGCACTCAGAAAGTTTCAAATTCTGGAGCATTTCAGATTTTGGGTTTGGGATGCTCAACTTATATAATAATTAGGGAAAACTATAAGGTACATGGGATGTTTCTGCACAATCTCTGCAATTTCCTGTGGAAAAAATCTGTAATTATTTCAAAATAAAAAATCCTATCAGAAACATGTATTATATAATGTGGGTAAGAGGGCCACTAAAGATAATACACATTTATAATTTATTTAATATTATATATATATAATAATGTATTAACAACTGTTATATAATTAAATGCTGTGTAACAATATACATTTAAAATGTATTTGTCAAACATATTTGAAAGACTTTCTCCAAAGGAGAAAGTTAATGAGTAAACTATATTTTACTCAATAAAGAGTAACAATCAGGACCAGTTAATACATTACCAAGAACTTCCTATCATTTTCAGTAATTACCTCTAACATACTAGAAAAATCATCTCGTATATTTTGCTTGAGAATTTCACTATCCCATAAGACAATCCTTTCCATTTTTAGACAATAGTTATTAGAAAACTCTTCTTTATAGTATTCCTAAATTTGTCATCCTTTAGGTAATTTTAACCTAATGAAGCAAAAATTGTATACGAGAGTTTAATTTGAATCTTAACTCCACCATTAGCTACTAAACTGTAAAATCCCTAAAATATTAAACATTCCAGAATATGACTTGTAAAGCTTAACAGTGCCTAATAAGACAGCAGATGCTCAGAAAGGTTTTAATGATTTTTGCAAAAAAACAAAAAATTTTAAAGGAAAGACTCCAGTTTAAGGTTTCCAACTATAAAGTAATTTAAGCTCCAAATATTAGAAATGGTTGTCTTAAGTTTTCTCCCTTTATATGTTTTATTAGATTTGTTTTTTTACCTTTAGTTTATAAATTGCTGGACTTCCTGGAAAAAGTTTAGCTGCTCTTTCAACCCAATATTTTGCTCGTCCATCAGTAACATCATTTTTACAAAGCAATTCTGCTATCTTCAACACTAGATCTTTTTGTGTTGGGTTTAATTCCACCGAACGCTGACACCAGAAAAGAAATAAAAAATTAGCAAATAATGAATTGTACATATATGTAAGTATATACATTCATACAAAGGTTAAAAAATTATTATTGCGCCCATTAAAAACTCTATCCTAGATGACAACATATTGTGTCAAACTTGTTAAAATTAAAGAGTCTTGGAATTTTCTGGAAATGAATCAAATTAAAAATTATGTTTTATTAGGTGAATGCAAAACACACACATACACGAACACTAGTTTTGATCATGTTAGACTTTAAAATTTATAGGTGTTAAATTATAGTGTACTTTGGGCCAAATAATTTTAAATCTGTTCCAAGCTGTGTTGCTTAATAGTACTATGATACCAATGCTTGTTTGCATGACATCTATAAAATATATCTAACTTATTCGTTACATAAATTACTCTGAGCACCATGTGTTTGGCTATGCAAAGGCTGTATTTTAATCCTATAATTTACCTTGTAACATTCAACAGCTTTGTCTATGTTTTCCTCCACTTCATAAAGAAGACCCAGAAATCTGTGAGCTTTGGGATCCCTCTCTTGCACATTAATATATGCAGATATGTATCTGTTATAAAATAATACAAAAGGAAATAATCCTTCAATTATTAAATTTAAAACTATTTAAATGCTAACTGAAGAGTACATCTTAAACCAAAGCAACCACTAACTAATTTATAGTTGTTATTCAATTGACTACCACTATTTACTTAAACTGGAACACGCACATAACTCAAAAGCATTTATAGGAAAAAATGGATAATATTAATACTTAAAACACAAACACACACAGAATTGACAATATATTCATTTTACCATTAAATGCCACATTTACCAAATGTTTTTTCCAGTGTTATCCACACATAAGAAATGAACATATAAGTTGCTTTTCTTCCTGATCACATTTTGGTAAAGCACTAAAGAGCTTTGCATTTAAATTACAAAAGTGATTACAGTAAACATTTTTAAAGTTATCACACTGCAAAATACTAAAGAGTAATGATTTCCCAAACAACAGCAAAGAGAATATTTTATCCTTTAAACAAGAAAATAATTTCTAATAGCACTGTACCCAGCTAAAATTGAACATAAGAAAAATTACTAACTACACTACAGGTAAGTAAATACAGGTAATTTCCACTTCTTAAATCAAGTAACAACTAAAAATAAGTGAATATCCTCTAGAGTCAGTGGCAGTGTTACCTACCATAAGAGAAATTAGACCAAAGACCAAAACCACAGGAGAAAAGTCTCACATTAACAAGGAACAAGGGTTAACAGCCCCAATGCTGCCAGTTATATAAAGTACCACTAAATAAAGTCCATTCTGCTATCTTATCCATCTTTCTGGCAATGTTTTTAACACATTAACTGCCATGTGAGTTTATTTAACTCATGCTAGTTTTAACCCCGGGGCCCTGTGAAGCATATGTAACCGACATGTCTCTTTATCTTGGGAACCTTGTGAACTACTTTTCAAGATGTGTGTAACTCACACACAGAAAACAATAAAAAGTAAGAAATTTTTCATTAGATTACAAAGGATTGCTCTATTTTCAAAGTTTTTATTCTATTTTCGTAATAAAACACTGTGGCCCCAAGAAAAACAATTTTTTTTCTAGTGTGGCAGTCAATGTGTTAATAGCCCACCTCCTTCCTAATTTCCTGCTTTAAGCCATGCCAAGTCAGGAAGTCAGAATCACCAAACTTCTCAGCTCTAGGACTCGAAGTCTCAGAGTCACATATCAAGTCAATTCAGGACGTTTTACACAAGCTATTCTCCTGCCTAGTAATCACAGTTTAATTTTGTATTCATTGCTATTTTCCAGCTGATTAAAGATATGGGCACGGTCCTCTTCTAGCCCAGGACAATTTTTAGACAAAGTGTTTTAAGCCAAACGATTTCTTGGACTAGGCATAAACAAGGAGCAGCATGCAGAAAATACTCATCCTAGGATCACTCTCAGTAGAATCTAGGCTAGGCTGGTCCTTAACAGCAATCTCAGAGTGATGAATCCCTTATTCCAGGGTACACTTAAGAAGAATTACTAAAGAACGTATTTTTATCTGTTTCAAAGAACATGAGGAAAGGCACTGATTTTAGAAATCTAATGCTTGTTTTTGGTTTGTACTTACTTTTTAGCGAGATCATATTCTTTAGCTTCATAATATAGCTTCGCAAAATAAAATCCTTTCATTGACTTCTAAAAAAAAAAAAAGTTATTTCACTTTTCACACAGAAATACTTTGTTTTTCAAAAGGACTAAAAATTTGTCCTAACAAAACCGTTAAAATATTTTATTTTTGTTCACTTAAAAGGTGAAAAATTTTAAAATTGTCTGAAAAATGCATGTATATTCTGAAAGGCATGATTCCATGTTTTATAATTCCTATCATAAAACAAAAAATAAATTCAACAATAGCAAGACAAGCAGACAACAGATGTTAAGAATTTATATCAGCCTTGGAAACCTTAGAAACCATGTGGCACCTCTCTCTCACTTTACAAATAGGTAAACAGAAAACAGCTTCTCTGGGCAGGGAGAGGTACACCAGAAACCTCTCTTCTACCATGTGTAAGCCCAGAATAAGCAAGTACTTCAGACCTGTTAGGGCACTGAGGATTCTCTGGTCCATGTACATGTACAGATCAAATCTGTTTTATGTATACATATACACACAAACACATATATACACACATATACGCACACATTTTTTATATATATATTTATTTTGATTGACAGGGTCTCACTCTGTTGCCCAGGCTGGATCGCATGGGCCTGATCATAGCTCACTGCAACCTCAAACTTCTGGGCTTGAAAGCAATCCCCCTGCCTCAGCCTCCTGAGTAGCTGGGATTACAGGTGTGTGCCACCATGCCTGGCTAATTTTTTCTATTTTTGGTAGAGACGGGGTCTCATTCTTGCCCAGACTCCTGAGCTCAAGCAATCCTCCCCCTTCGGCCTCCCAGAGAGCTAGAAATACAGGCGCCAGCCACCATACCCCACCAAACACCTTATTTTTGAAGACTATACAAAGACACAGGAAAAAAATTAAACTACTGAATAAGAAAAGTAGTCTACTGAGGAGCATATTTTCCAATGTGTGTTTTTGAATAGGTATATATGAAAATGCTAATTAATTATAGAATCATGTTATATTTAAGAATTTTTCTAGTTTTCAAATTTCCTATAATAAACTCCCATTATCTACAACAGGTATTGACACAATATGATTCTGTCTAGTGTTCCAAATGTCAAATGAAGTAGTTCAATAAAGGTAGTTAAATGGTGGAATAACTATGATTCTTCTTTACCAAATTAGAGAAGAAAAGCATTTTATCTAAATTCCTAGTTAATTCTTAAGGGCAATATATACATTTTCTAAAGTAAGTAAAGACTGATGTCATTAAAATTAATCAGTAATAGGGCTAAAATCCCAAAAAGAACATACTCATTGAAGTGAGAGATTACACTTAAGTACAAACTTTAAGTCTGCAAGCTCTGGCATCCATCTGTATTCTTTTCACCTTTGTACCAGACCTTTTCTTAAGACCCACAAAATTTCACCAAACACTGGTTTTTTGTTTTGTTTTGTTTTTGTTTTTTGTTTTTTTAAAAGATGGGGCCTCGCTCTTGCTCAGGTTGGTCTCAAACTCCTGATCTTAAGCGATCCTCCCACCTTGGCCTCCCAGAGTGCTAGGATTACAGGCATGAGCCACCATGCCTGGTCCCGCACCAAGCACTGTTAAAGGCACTGAGGAATTAGCAGTAACAAAAAGCCTGCACTTAGTAGCAGTGACAAGCAAATAGATATTTATTAGGGAGCATGAAAGGGGTACTATTTTTATAGTATTCCACCAATTATTTACAGTATTTCATATTTTAACAAATCTAAAATCAGTATTCATCTCACAAATCACAGGTATTCTAACGATTTGGCAGTGTTTCTTCTTAGGTGGTAATGATGGTGGGGTGCAAACAATGGCATCTTAAGATTCTATAAAAGAGACACAGAGTTGTCGGGGAGGGTTCTCTTTAAGGGAAATTTGATCAGAAACCTGAATATAGTGAAGAAGTGGTTATCCAGGTCAGACTAGACAGCAGATGAACTATAATAATTTAACCAGTCCCCACTGTTTACCATATAATTTGTTTCAATTTTTCCTTTTTATGAAACCTGCAGAAAACATTCTTAAATCACACCATCTTTGTGAAATACTTTTCTCACAACTTCCAAGATGCTGTCCATAGTTTGCCTTCTATGTTAGTGGCTGTTTGTTCTCCAGCTCCTTCACAGGCTCTTCCTCTCTTCACACCGACTTCCCCAGGAGTAAATCTTATCTATGACATATACTGAATCTCACGTATGACTACTGACTATATGTTGACTCTCAAATATTTATCTTTGGATCTCACCTCTCATGAACTCTAAACTCATGTCCAAAATATCATCAATAAGACCCATCGGTTGCACCTTCTATTAATATGTTACCTCAATTCATCCACTTCTCTACATCTTCACTGCTACTACCACAGTCCATTCAATATTTTCAGACCACAGGTACTATAGGTAACTATTAATAAAACGGAGGATTGCAAAACCACCTGTAAGAGGGTACTACTGTGTCAGCAATGAAAAATCAGAAAAGGAAATTAAGAAAGCAAACCCATGTTGTTCGAAGGTCAACTGCATATATAGAAATAGTCCCTCAAATCTACGTATATTTCAATAGCAGAAGAACAGGACATACCGAAATGTCAACAGTAATCACCTCAAGACTTTGAGTCATCTGTATTTTTCAAATCTTCAAAAATGGAAAGCAATTCCATTTACAATAGCATCCAAAATAATAAACTACCTGGGAATAAATGTAACCAAGGAGGTGAAAGTCCTGTATGCTGAAAATTACAAAATAATGCTCAAAGAAATTAAAAACCTAAATAAATGGAAAGGTATGTGTGTTCATGGATAGGAAGATCTAATATTGTCAAGATGTCAGTATTATCCACAGCGATCTATAGGTTCAATGCAATCCTTATCAAAATTCTAATGGCCTTTTTTTTGAAAAATGAAAGAGCCAATCCTCAAATTCATATGGGCGTGTGAGGGGCCCCAAACAGTCACTCTTGAAAAATAACAACAAAGTTGGAGGAACTCACACTTGCCAATTTCAAAACTTACTACAAAGCTACAGCAATCAAACCAGCGCAGTACTGACATAAGGACAGACATATAGACCAATGATACAGTATTCAGAGTTTAGAAACAAACCCATAAATCTATGGCCAGTTGATTTTTGGCAAGGGTCTTAAGTCCATTCAATAGGGAAAAAACAATCCCTTCAAAGATCGTGAAGATACAACTAGATTTCCACATGTGGAAGTATAAAGCTGGACCCCTACTGCATATATGCCACATACAACAATTACCTCCAAATGCATCAACTTAAACATAAGAGCTAAAAACCATAAAACTCTTAGAGGAAAACATAGGAGTAACTCTCTATGACCTGGGATTTTTATCTCAATAAAATTGTTTTTTAAAAAATTCTAACTTTATGTCAAAATAGTGACACTTAAAAAACTATTCCAAGTTTGGTACATTGGTATTTTGCCTGTACATCCTTAACAAGATATATTCTGAACCTGAAGAGCTACCATCAATCTTAAACTTCGTTTAGTATTTTTATCAAAGACTTGAGAAAACAGGTCAAAAAGAATTGAACTGCAAGTAACCAGAAATACTTTTAAAAAGCAAAGAATACACAAGAATACACAGTTTCTCCCCTCCCCCACTGAATTCATAAATTTAAAAGATAGAGGAAGTACGTGACAAAAATTCACAACAGTCAAGATGGCACAAAAGGAACAGAGTTTCTCACAATGTCAACAAACAATAAAAAATAAATTCCATTACCTATTTTGCATCAAACTATCTTATTAAAGAGGACTATCTTAAGATTAAAAAGTTATTAAAGACTAATACATAGAAGCATTGAATTTTGGGGAAACCTGATCATCTCCTGCCTCCAACCTGTTCATTTTACAAGGGAGCTGAATCCCAAGGATTAAGTGCCTTGTTTAAGGATACATAGCTAGGAAGGAGCAGAGCCAATGTTATGTCTTGACTCAGTCATTGCTTCTTTCCATGACACCAGATGCCACTATAAGCAAATACCTGAATTCATTTAAAAGCTCCTAAATATGAAGAACCGACATGGGGCTGAAAATAAGAACAGTCAGACACTGAGAGATGCCACACTCTCCCCATATTGCATAGTCAGCTGACTCCTCCTCCTCCTCCTGCACCCCCTCCAAAAAAACGCTGCAGCAAATGAGTTTGTTCTCTGTATAAACTGGCTCCAAATCTGTGGAGTCCCAACAAGGGTGAGGGCAGGAATTATACAGAATAAGCAAAGTCTACATATTCAACCATGAGTTCCCCAATCCCCTTCCCCTGGAAGATAAGGGTAAGGAAATCTCTCAAAAGGTAGAAAAGGCTGGATGCAGTGGCTCACACCTGTAATCCTAGCACTTTGGGAGGCTGAGGCAGGAGGCTCACTTGAGCCCAGGAGTTTAAGGTTGCAGTGAGCTATGATGACACCACTGCACTCTAGCCGGGGCGACAGAGTGAGACTCTGTCTCAAAAATAAAAAGTAGAACATCCCGACACACTCCCTTCATTTTGTCCCCAAGGACCAAATTCCCTAAAGTTACTGACTGAGGGGTGCAGAGTCTCTGGGTGATGACAAGCTCTGGGGATGGATGGTGGAGACAGCTGCTCAGCACTTTGAATGTTCCCCCGGCTGCTTAATCGTGCACTTAACAATGGTTATGGGGGTTAAATGCAGTGTTTATTTTAGCGTAATAAAAGTATTGCGTACTCTGGAATAAAAACGAAATTAGTTTTAAAAAAAAAAAAAGAACAACAAACAGAGGAAAACAAGAATAAGAGAGAAAACTTTGGAGGATCAAACCAGAAAGTCCAATTTTCAGGTAAAAGAAAGATAACAAAGAAAAAAAGAGAGAGAGAGAGAGAGAGAGAGAGAGAGAGAGAAAATGGTCAAAGAATACAAAAATGTTACAGAACTGAAGAAAATGAGTTTCCCAATTAAAGGGACACTTCCCAAAAAACTTTTTTTTTCTTTTTTTTTTTTATTTCAGCATATTATGGGGGTACAGATGTTTAGGTTACATATGTTGCCCTTGCTCCCCTCCCCCCCAAAAAAACTTTTAAGTTACCAAGAATAAGAATCACATCAGACTTCTAACAGAAGAACTACTAGAAAATGGAGCAATGATATCAAAATTGAGGAAAAAATTATTTCAGATCCAGAATGTGATAGTCAAACAACCAAATCAAGTAAAAAAGTTTTTCAGACATACAATATATATATATATTTTTTTTTTTTGAGACAGAGTCTTGCTCTGTTGTCCAGGCTAGAGTGAGTGCCATGGCGTCAGCCTAGCTCACAGCAACCTCAAACTCCTGGGCTCAAGCAATCCTTCTGCCTCAGCCTCCCAAGTAGCTGGGACTACAGGCATGCGCCACCATGCCTGGCTAATTTTTTCTATATATATATACATATTTTTAGTTGTCCAGATCATTTCCTTCTATTTTTTAGTAGAGATGGGGTCTCGCTCTTGCTCAGGCTGGTCTTGAACTCCTAACCTTCAGCGATCCACCCGCCTCAGCCTCCCAGAGTGCTAGGATTACAGGCGTGAGCCACCATGCCCAGCCCAGACATACAATATTTTAAAGAATAAAAAACCTCTTATCCATTCCTTCTCAAAGCAAATGAGACTGTGCTACATCAAAACAAAGTAAATCAAGAGGACATGAGATACAAGAAACAGCCTAACACAGAAAAGAGATGAAGGAAGGGAATTTTAAATTAATGATAAAGGGAAGTCCCCAGAGTAAAGCTGTGTAGCAAAGAAAAACAGAAACCAGTCCAGGTTGGAGCAATAAGTAGCAAGCATGCTCCAAGTATGAAGATCCTTTTTCAAAAATCAGCTGCAACTGATGGGATTATGTAACCTATTTGACCATACTTTAGAGTTTCAATTGCTGAGTTTGAGTAAAGAATTAGTAATATACCATAAACAAGCAAACCAAAAAGCAATGCAATTATTAAGTCCAGGAAAATAAAACTACACAATGAAGGACTCAAATGCAAAAATATTTACATTATAATTATATAAATGCTAAATATTCATTTAACCAAAAATTGCAATAAGAGTACTGGAAAAATAAGGGGGAAACAAATATCTGTGGACAGAGTTCTGGAGGAGCACAGTAGAAAGCCAGCAGAAAGTGTCTAAAATGGGAGAGAGAGAATCAAGAAATAAAAGTATACATGTATGTTACTCAGAAGTATAAAATATAAATAATAGAACAAACATCCAAAAGAAGAATACACAGTTTCCCCCCTCCCCCACTGAATT